CCTTGACCATATAAAAATAGTTTCAGACATTAGAATTATAATTCCAAGTGGTTTAGAAGCGGAGATATAGATAAACATAGGTTTTATTAGGCGGCCATTTTGAAATCCAAGATGGTCGCTATAATGACCTCGGATGAGGTGGTTCCTACCAAAAATTTAATGCTATGACCATAAGGAGCATGTAAAAAAAATTGGTGCTTTTGTCCGGAACGTCCACATCCATCCGTTAAGCTGCCGGACTATTGCCCTTTACTACGTTTTAAGATAATGTTCTGACGGTGACAATTTGGTGTACTATTGCGAACGAAAATGATGCAGCCCACTTGACGTATACTTTTTTAATATCTATTACTATAAATAATAACAATAGGAGTGATTTTTAGCAAATAACTTTAGTGTGAAAACATAAAGAAATGACTCATACATTTGTCTCTAGTAGTCATCTAAGTAATTGTTATAACGACAATTTCGATAAAAAATATAGGCCCTTTTTTATGGTGTACGGTAAGAATGGCCCCGGAAAAAATGGCCCCGGAAAAAGCGGCCCCGGAAAATATGGCCCCGGAAAAATTGGCCCCGGTAAAAATGGCCCCATATGACAGGTAGGTAAAAATGGCCCCAATAATCAAATTCTGTTTTAAATATATGCATTTTTTTTAGTTTTTAAAAGGAATCTAACATCAAACAAATTGCCACTTACATTTTACTTTTTGCAAGAATTAATATTCAATGATAAAATATTCAAAGATAAATAAAAAGCCATGAATTACACTTTTTATTTTTTTTTTCCATTTAAATGTTAAAAAATAGCAACAACATAATCAATAAATCAACATAAATCATGCATTTATTAACACTAAAATAAATTGCTTGTGGCCGATTTCACGGAAGCGGAATCACAATTTTCCAGAAATTCAATCTGTGTATTGGTAAACCCCACAGACAGTGGGTTAGTATGAACATCAAATTATTATTATTTTTTTTTTTTTAAAGAAAAAGAGAGTTCTACTATCATAATTATATGGTTTAGATGGGGTATGCAGTGTGTTTGTGGTGTATTTGCAAGTATTTTTTCACAAAAAATCTAAATTTTAACCAAAAAATAGTTATAAATGTATTTAATTTTCTTATTGATATACCAAGTCAGTCAATCACAATTGAATTGTTTGATTTTCTACAGTGTGTTTTGGGAGGTTTGTGGGATTTAGCAAAACCACATAATCCCTGTCTCTTATCACAATCACACGCCATTTTAATTCTTAGCATAATTGCCATACATAACTATATATAATTCTAAGCCAGTAGTAGGCACTTGGATTTAGTTAGTGATGAGTAAAAACCAAGTATGCAACTAAATTAGTTCCTTAAATAAATGTATTCCTAATTATTCAGTTTACTAAAAGCAATATTTCTTTGAATAAACTCTAAGCAGACAATTTATTGCTAAGTTTGCGAGAAAGTAAGCCTCTCCCTTTTCCCATACATGAACTTGTGATTTAAACACACAATTGATCCAATTATTTGCACTGTTTATAACATGTAAAGTTAATTCATTTGATATTTAACAAAAGTGAAGTTATCTATGAGTTGCATATTTTGGTATTTGAAGTACTGTATACTGTATGTCATTCCTCTACTTTGTTAGTGAAATAACGTTTTTAAAACTTTTATTTCTATTATCAAAAAATGTTATTCAATGGCCATTGTTTTTCGATTATCTCTCAGAACATTATTTGCATCAGCTTTAATTGTTAAAAAACAAATGCTTTTAAAGAAATTTAAAAAATCACATATTGATCTCAGTTCAAAGGAAAAAATAAAACTTATTTCTAAATTTACAATTTTCACCTATAAACCTCTTAATTTCACAAAAGAGTGGGTTCTTTTCCAAACAAATACATCCTGCCTAATATTGTGTGTTTAGATTAGATTTTTTGCTTTAACTTTGGAAACTGAGATCATTTTAGATACTATTTCTGTGTAAACTACATTTTTTTTTCATATTACTGTAAACCTAATGGGTTTTGATAAATTTACTCTGCACTACGGAATTTCCAATAAAAAAAAGAAAATTAATTAAAAACACCATAGATTAAAAATAAGTAAGGCATAACATATTTTTAATCCTGTCTCTTATACACATCTAGATGTGTATAAGAGACAGGTCTGGTACACTGTGGAACGCATCTTA